CGCTCAGTTTTTTTTTTTTTTTTTTTTTTATTTTTGTTGTTTTTTTTTTTTTTTTTTTTTTTTTTTTTTTTTTTTATTTGTATTTTTTTTTTTTTTTTTTTTTTTTTTTTTTTTTTTTTTTTTAATTTCAGTTGGAAATCTGTTTTTACTCAATTTGAATTGGAAATCTGTTTAATATCCTTGGCAGTTTTCTGCCATGAATGACCTACTGACATCCTAGTCCTAAGACCTTTTTTTTTTCTTTCCCAAACCATGTATGTAGCATCTTGTTAGTGTAGATGTTAGATTTTATTTCACTCTTTGCAGCTGTTATTTTTTGGAAGTGACTTAATTTGAATGGCCACCAGTAATTTTGACACCAGCTTCCTGGTTTTGATTGACATGAATTTAGCAGATGCGTTTGTCGTTTGATCACTATTGCAAGTGTGCATGTGGACCCTTTCTTTTATTTTACAAATAGACATCCTTCGCCTTGAATGTGACATTGAAGACAATAATTATCGAACCTGCTAGAAATATGATAAAACTATTGCTTGTAGATTTTGTTTGAGAATTTTCATTTTTTGCTTTCAGTAAACCCGATTTGAAAATAGCAGTTCTGATTGTTTGCTACATAATGCTATTAAAGTTTCACATCTGCTCATCTGCTTTTTTCCCATTGGTCGAATTTTGGTGTTGATTGCTTACCTTCTTTCTGCAGGCAGTTCTTGTTGATGTTTGCTTTATCTTGCATTTATGATTTGGTGTTTTGAAGAGAAAAATTAATTAAAGAAATATTTTTGTATATTTATATGAGTTGTTTACCTAAGATAAATTATGGTACTTTGTTGCCTAAATGTACAAGTATAAAGATTTGTAAATGTTAAGCTGCAGTGTCAAAATGGCTCAGACACGCCATTTAACATTAGAAAGGGCCCGATTCCATTTCTGGTGAGTGAATCGTATATTATCATGTAATTATTTCTTCATCCCTATGCTGCCAGTACAGACAGTCTTTTCTGCGAGCTTTAAAAACAGCTTGTCACTGCGAATGAGTCAAGGCTTTTCTCCACTGCATACACTGTAGGTATACTTGAAGTTTCAACTTTCAGTATTGGGTCAGACCTGTTATAGATATGAAAGGTCTAATATCCATGGTTTGTTTTCAGGACATGAATAGAGGCCGAGGAAGAGGTGGATTTGACCGCGGGCGGGGTGGGTTTGGAGGTGGCCGGGGAAGATTCTTCAACCAGGGCGGCTATAGGAGAGAGATGAGTGAGTTTATTGATTGTTCTTTTTATGTATGACATTAAAGTAATCTTAACATTCACTGGAACAACCATCAGTGATCATATCTGAATTTTGCTTTTCTTTGGCTGATTTTAACCTTGACTTTTTAGAGTAAAGCTGGAAATGATAAGATATTTGAGGTAATTTGTGTGTTTAACTGTGTGTGTGTGTGTGTGTGTGTGTGTGTGTGTGTGTGTGTGTGTGTGTGTGTGTGTGTGTGTGTGTGTGTGTGTGTGTGTGTGTGAGAGAGAGAGAGAGAGAGAGAGAGAGAGAGAGAGAGAGAGTAATTTGGGAGTAAATACAGTAATTACAATCCATTATTCCTATTCTAGGCTCGCGAGGTGCAATGAACCAAAGAGGTGGAGGCATGTCATCCAGAGGAGGTGGTATGGGCCCCAGGGACAGCCCTGGTGAGGGACGTAGGGAGGAGGGCAGGGGATTCAACCCCAGAGGAAGAGGAGGTGGAGGAGGAGGAGGGGGCTCACAGTGGGGGAGACCACGTTTTGGTAGTCCAACCAGAGGGGTCAGCACCAGAGGCGGGTGAGTGTTGGGTGGACAGGCCAAAAATAAAGTCAATATGAGGGCTGATGCAGGACAAATAGTAATGTTTTATAGAAAAGTTTTTAAGCCTAAGTACTTTTTAAGTGATATTAGCATAATAAAATTCAACGAAAATCCATTTAATGTTGAATGTTTTTTTAAGGTCCATTAATCCAAGAAGGCTGCCAAAATCATTGCGTAATAAAATCATTGCGTAATAAAACATAGCATAGTTCTCATCTGTCCTCTCCTTTATGTCCAGTGGCAGGCCAGGTCAATCCAATGACCGTTATCAGGACCGTGGTCCGCGTCCATTCCTTACCCCACCAGGGCGAGGTGGACGTGGAGGTGCCAGAGGAGGCAGTCAGTGGCAGGGAGGACCTCGGAGAGAGAACACAGGGTGAGAATGGGTCTCCTTTCACAAAAAAATTTTAGCGTAATTTCGGGTTGAACATTTAGACCATGAAGTTTGTTTTTTTTTTTTTTTTTTTTTTTTTTTTTTTTCATTCATGATGAGTCAGTAGTTGTCTACTTGATGAAATAAAGATATTGAATCTGCTTCCAAAATATATTGAATGGCTTATTTTATTTTCATTTACTAGTTTCATGGACTGCAACAGATTATCTAAGGTTCAAAGTGGACCAAAATTGTTTTTATCCTGGACCAACTTCTTTTATATGAACAGGAAAGATGATATTTACTAAATGCAAAACAAAGCAAAAAAAGGTGCAAAGGAAATGGAATAAATTAACTGGAGTTGAATATAATTTACGTTTTTACAGTTCATCAGTATTGCAAAGACTGTCAAAAAACACATTTATTTGGCCAAAAAAATGGACAGTGTTCTTTCCTCAGTTTATCTTATGTCTCCCATATTCCAGACCTGGAGACCGGGGTCCACCCGACAGAGGTCCCGGGAGAGACCAGCGCCCTATGGGGGGCTCCCAACCCTGGGGCAGGGGGTCCAGTGACAGGGGCAGGGGAGGGGGTCAGTGGATGGGAAACAGGAACCGAGACCAGGGAGGAAAGTAAGTATCATTGGAACATCAGGGTGTTTCAGTTATCTGGCCACTTGTCAAGTTCAGTTTGAATGAAGGGTTCTAAAATGCTTTAAAAAAGAAATAATAGACCATACTTGTTTAGTGGGTCTGACCAAAAATGTGTTATATGAGGAATGCACCTAAATTGGGTGGTTTAAATCTGTTCATATGTGATTAATTGTATCTGTTCTGTTGTATTGGTATTAGTTCCACTTGTTAAAGAATGTACATGAATTCTGCACAGTGCTGTCTTGTATTTCAGATTCATGCATCCCCCTGGTGGTCAATCTTTCCGTGGCAGGAGAGATCAAGGTGGCAGACACGCCAGGTCCTTTACAAAGTAGAGTATCAGCAGATATTTCATGGACTCGTCTTCAAAAGCAACTGGGGAATAAGTTGATCATTAATTTAAGGGCAGTTGTCTGAGTTAACAGAAGTAAGGTCTATTCAGGGGTCATGTTCAGAAACAGTAAGAATTCCCAGCGTCCCTGAGCACAGTCAGGAATCCACATGAGTCGCCAAAGATCACAGAGAGTTCTACTTCTCGTGTCCAGAAATATTGGTTAAAGCAATTGTTTCAGGAAATATTGGATATTGAATTCTTTGACAAACAAAGTATGTTTTAACATGCTGTACTGCATTCAAGATGGCTGACACGCCAGTCCTGAACTATAAGTGTTGGTGAACTGAAAATTATCTTGAAAATGGATTTCATAGAAATGAGGTATTTAATTCAGACAATCAAAAAGATCTGTTGATAGAGAGAATTGTATCAAGTTCTAGATTCTTTATCATTTTTTATTCAACGAGTATCAATCATTTATGAAAAATGATTAATAAATATGAATTGAAAATGCAAAGTGTACATATTAAGATGTGTTTACTATAACCGTGGTTTTATAAACTGTAAATTTTCTTTTATTATCAAAACATGACCGGTCTTAAGGAAATGCAGGGCGTCAAGTTCCTATTTTTTTCCATTTTTTTGAAGATGGTCCTATTTTTTTCTTTTTTTGTGTTGGTTATCCAAAAATAAAATATGTGGACACCTTAGTTAATATTTTTTAACTTTTGAAGAAATTTACCGAAAATATTGACTTACTGACTTTGGACGCATGCCTTGTTAAAGTACAATGCAGAAAGATGCAGATTACTCTAAATATTCAGTTGGCTTTGATATTTAGATGCCAACATGGATGGAATACATTGAAGTTTTCTGACTAGCATCAGACTTAGATCTGCTACTCATCATATTCGTGAACAGTGGGATGCCATGTTCATCAAGTCCCGAGGTTTTTAAAATTGCTAGGCCCATGCAGCAACAGCGCATGTTGAGGTTTGCAGTTTATAGCCATCAATGGATTGCTTTCAAGTGGGATCGACAACATTTAAGTAGAGGGGGGGGGTCTATTAGTCCACGGATTAGCTCGTTCTGAATGCTCTCCCAGATCATCAAAATGAGGAAGTTCAAACATAAGTTATTGGTAGACACATCAACATAATTGTACATGGACATTTCACAAAATTTGGTGCCCCTTGGGGTTGGGCTTTCCATGGGAGGATGATTTTTTACCTTTTTTCTGTGCACATTGTACAAGTCCATTCCACAGGTTCTGCTATCTCCTCCTCTAGACCATTGATATTAAAGATATATATTGATAGCCCTATCAATATATATCATTAATATCAATATATATCAATATATATCATATTGATAGCCCTATCATCAGGGATGTGGATAGGCCAGTCAAAATTTATGTACACTTTGGGGTTGGGCTGTCCCTGGGGGTGGATGACTTCTTTTTTACATTCAGCGTTTTTTTATCAATTATTTTATGCTGTTATTGTACCACCAGCGTTAGCGCTGGCGGTACACATGGTGTCGGTCCCGTCCGGATCGTTCTGCCGGCTCCGTTGGCTCTGCCGGCTCCGCCGGACGGCTACCGTTACCGCTTCTCCTCCTAGACGGTAAGGGCCCCCGTACCCATCTCATGGATTTAGGTCACCTATAATCTCAACTCGTTCCAAGTAAAATTTGGGCTTTGTCGGTATTGGGGTCTGGGTGTGGCACTCATTGCAATGCACCCTTGTCTAAAAATAGCAAAATTAAATGCTAATTATCTACCCTACGGAAGGAGTTATGGGAAAAATTTCTATAGACG